CTGATGCGCTTGACATCCCGATACTGACACTTCGGAGTGGTTAGCAGCTCTCACCCGACAGCCACAGCTCCGATTACCACTGATCCTACCTTCTCCCTTTCGCTATACCGGAAACAAGATTTAGGTGCTTGCTCAATATTCCAGAGTTGCAGCCGTTCCAACTTGAAAACGACTCGGATAGACACCCCCGGGTAAATAAATTCGAATCAGCTCCTCCGCTGAGGTGCGACTTTTCGAGTCAAAGGTTCAGAGTGATAGCAGGGCTATGAGAATACCGCATAAACGGCCGCCGTCGCGAGGCGACGACGGCCTAATTCGATTCCGCAGCGAGCGGGACGCTTTCCGTGTATGGCGCAACGATACAGAAAACACAGAACAGCAAGAAACATAGGGCGGGAACGGGAGGGAAAGCGCAAGAAAATGGACTCGAAGCCTAACGCAGATGGAGGTCAGACCTGGCGAGGCATGACAGAAATGCTAGCACGAACCTAACGCAGATGGAGGTCAGACGGGACGAGGCGTGCAGCCCCTGTCCCTCGCGGCTGCACCTATATACCCATCTGCGGTCAGGAGGATCCCAGTTAGGTACGCCCACTGCTGACAAAGCATCGGCGACGTACCTAACACTCCTGAGCAGGTCCGTGTTCGTCCGCTGTTGGACTCATCCTGCTGCGAGCAGGGGAACGGAGGCCGCGGGCCTCTGGGTGCGGCGAAGAGCGCTTCGAGTCCGCGTGCGCGCGTCGCTCATTCGACTTGTGTAAACTGCCTTGAAACTCGACGAATCAGCTCCTCCGCTGAGGTGCGACTTTTCGAGTCAAAGGTTCAGAGTGATAGCAGGGCTATGAGAATACCGCATAAACGGCCGCCGTCGCGAGGCGACGACGGCCTAATTCGATTCCGCAGCGAGCGGGACGCTTTCCGTGTATGGCGCCCGGTATAAGTGTGTAGATGATGTAGGACTAGGAGGAGGGGGGCTGGTGGTGAGACAAAATGCCATACATGGGTATGCGGCAATGCAGCAGAGCCTGCATGAGAACTGGATGGGACCGGATATATATCCGGAAAGCTTCTGAGGACCAGCGGCCGAGTGCCTGGATGCGGTCGTCAGGCCAGCCAATGCTCGCAAAAAACGTTGCGCCGCCGGCGCGCAAAGAATGGCCGGAGATGTTCTGATCTGGAATCGCGCGATGGAGCCGAGAAATAAACCAGCTCCGCGTGGGCACCTGACCATCCTCAGTGAGCCAGAGCGCAGGCTGCAGCGGAAACAAGCCGTCGCGGCTGGAAAGATAGTCGCGAAAAACTGTCGAGGGGGCGATGCCGTCAGGGGCAAAGGTGTCGGAAATGAGGATACTCGAACCAGCGAAAAGGCGGTCAGCCTTGTGGCTTGGTAGCGTGTACCCATATGAGTCACTCGTGAGAGTAACTGAAACCCGAGAGATGACCTTGCGCCAAGATCGGAGGTCGCTGTCGTCTGGCCAGACGAGCTCGCCGAGGCGATGCAGCGCGAAGAAACCTGAGAGCGCCAGGGCACGGAAAAGCCGGTTGTTGTGCGAGTCAGGCGGAAAATGCTGCAGGAGAGTGAGCAAATGATGGGGCTCAAGCGCAGCCTTGCGGTTCGCGGGCGTGCTGAACATGCGTTTACACCCAGCAAGCGTGCGAGTCACGAGGTGATGACGGCGAAGCGTGCGAACCTCTGGATATAGTGGCTCCAGCTGGTTGCAAATACCCGATAGATAGGAATCGACGGAGGAAGGCCGAATGTGATGGCACATGTAGACTGTGTAGAAAGACAAGGTGTCGACGGAGGGAACGATAGGGAAGTTGTGCGCCTTGCAGAAGGTAAGATAAGACTGCAAGTGGGATGTGTAGGACTTAGTGGTGGAGTTGTCAAGCGCAAAACCAAGGGCAACCGCCCGTGCTTGCACTAGGCGGTCCAGCGACCAAGGCTCCCGTACTGGTTGCCTGGCCGTACGCAACTCCGTGGTCATTTTTCGGCTGCCCCCGACTTAAGCTGTGGGGGTCGAAAGGGGAGCACCCGCAGAGAGGGAGTGTATGAGTGGGCCACCGGGAGCATGCCGCGAGATAACGCATCAGCAACGACGTTCTCGGACCCGGGGATGTGCCACACGCGAAGATCGATGCCCGATGCGATTAAGGTAGCAGACGCGGCACGCAAAATGCTGTTGTAGGGTGCTGACGCCCGGAAAGAGTCGAATATCTGTACGGTGTTCAAGTTATCGGTGTAGATGGCGAGGCGCCGCGGACAGTGATGCAAAGCAGCAGCCCACTGAAGGGCGGCCAGCACACAGAGCGACTCGTACCAGAAGATTGTATCCTCCACCGCATCAGGCGAGACTGGCAGCGCAGCCATGAAGCCCTCTTGACGAGCGGGAGACCAGAAACCGAGACCAGTCAGGCAAGCGTCGCACAGCACTTCCAACTCGGCCTCATGGGGCTTCCACGCCCTAGAACGCAAGATATGAACGCCACCGTACTTCTCGAACATATCAGCAACCCATAGCAAGTCGGTGATGACTGCCTTATTGAGGTACAAGGGCCGTGCAGGGTGCTGCTTCCCACGCATCTTCTCGTATGATGAGGCGAGAGCCGGGCGGAGAAGTGGCTGAACGTTCAGGCCCCAGTTGATCCACCCAAGGAGACGCTGCCATCGGCGCAGCGGACGCTTGCGCGCAGGGGCGTCGAGCACAAATTCACGGATAGAGTGGACCAGATCCAGTCGTGCGTCGTCCGGGAGAGCGATAGTCATAGCATCAGAGTCGACATGAAAACCAATGATAGTGAGGGAACGTCCGAAAACCTGCTTTGGCTGCTTGTGCGGGATCCCCAGCGCATCCCAAAGACGAAGGAGCCTGACCTGCTTAGAAGGGAAGAATGCCTGATATGGCTCGTATCGCACGAGGTCAGGGTTTGAATCCTCAGAGAAATTGTCATCCATATATGCAAGCATGTTGTCGATCCCGTCAATGTGGATAGCAATCCAGAGCACGAGGCTCATGAACGTACACCACAAATCGGGGGAGCCCCGGCTCCCAAAGCAGCAGCATCGGTCAATGCGACAGTCGCCATCAATACGGACCACCTGTTTCAGCTGCCAGAGCGGGTGCATGGGCAGGAGACGATAGGCATTCGCCACATCAGATTTGAAGAGCCAGACAGGAG